AATGACACGTGGAGACAGCAACCCTCATCTTGATACTCTGCTTTGCAAAATAATGTACTGTCAGTGTGACAGTGCTTACACTATCAGTTCCGTTACAGTGCCTGGTTTGTCACTGTTTGTCCGTGGATGCAGCCACTTAAAAAACAGTCTCTCCACATGATTAGGTTATGCCTAAAACCTGTCATTAACTTCATAAATAAGAGTACCGAGGAGTTCTCAAATTGAAACTGTCTGTTTACAGTGGGAATAGTTACCAAATGGTATTGACGTGCTACTGCAGAAAAGCACTCCAGTGTGGACACAGATAAAACAACAGAATTTTGCTTAGTGTATAAAAAAAACAACAGACCAACCAACCCACCCTTACCTAAAAAGGAGAAGCTATTTGAGTGAAATAATTTTCACTGGTGTAAGGGTAGGCCAGTGGTACTAACCACAAGCGTTAATGTGCCCACAAAGGCTTAAGATGCTCTTAAGAATTCTTTCTTGAAAATTCGGTCAATTTTACAAAAATCCATATGAGCATAACTATCAGATTTCTTTATTAGAGAGAACAGTTAATTTTTTCTTTGAGCTTTTATGTTCCACTCCTTATTTAGTAGTTTGGTGACTTATTTTTTTTTATTCTGTTTATGTCTAAACAGTTCCACGGGTTCAAAGGAAAGTGGAATTATCAGTGGAAGAAAAAGTTGAGGGATGTTAAATACTAGGGCACTGGCTTATTTGAGCTCTTGGGTCACGAAGTGCTGCAGACAATGAAAATATTCTGAGGAACTTTTTTTTTTCCTTTCTTTTAATTTTTTTGGCATCTCCTAATGACCACAGTCAGAGACATGTGGACCTTCCATCTGACCAGGAACAGCTATTTAATGTAGCACCAGCAGGCTAATATGCAACAGAAAAATTAAGAACCTTCATAGGTTCAGCAATGTCTCAACATCGGTACCTGATCACCTAAACCATTAATTTTATGCCTCACTTTGTCATAAAAATGTAGAGTTTCAGAGGATGTTTCAGAAAACATACATATGGAGCACGGAACTAGTTAACTATAGTAAATAGGGGAAAAGTATTAAGTGCTGAATTACGTCTGATTTCTGTGTTGTGCTCCACATCTTGTATAACTGATTTAGATAGGGTTGCAGGATTGTATTTTTGCATTGACTGCACATGATTTTAAGACCATTTACGCTCTCGTGGTATATAGCATCAGTTGATGTCATCTGGGTTGATGCCTCAATTTGTTTAAAAAAAGGAACTTATTTCCTGCACTGGACTTACTAAAATATATTTGCTGTTAAACCTTAATGAAAAAGGATTGTTTTGGGGGGAAAAAAGGGACTTAGCGCTTTATTTGGCTTCTTGTAATTGTGCTTTTAAGAATAAAATTCATTAAATACATTAAGCACATCTTTTGTATCAAAATGGTATATCTTGTTTACAGTTTTTAAAACTTCAGCAAATTTCCTTTCTAAAAAAGGGAATAAAAGTCTCATTCTCCCTACACTGATGTGAAATTATAGCTTTAAATACTAGCTAGTGAGAAAAGTTTTAATCCTATTTGGCAGAAGTCTTTTCTTTAAAATGATTGCTTTCTAAACTCAGATAATACACTAAAAATGTTTTTTTTTTAATGGTAACTGAAAAATATGGTTCCTAAATATTTTGTGTAATGATGAAATTCATGTAAAGGTATAAGTATCTATAATTAACTATGTTTATGTAATACTAAGCATTGACAAAAAGCTTAAAAGAAATAGCAATGGTTTTGAGGCCATGTTTACCTACAGTATGTTTTGAGTAAGCATGAAGAAAATATTTTTATTCAGTGAAAAACAGCGTTAGTCCTAATTCAATGTTTACTTTATTGGAATAAAAGGATTAAATGAAACGAACAGACGTATCATGATGTGTGCCTACAGGGAGGGCCACTGAAATAGATCCGCCTAATCCCCTTATCTGCCTTGGGACAAATTACCAAAATATCTGGTCTCAGGAAGGCTGTAGCCTGTTCAGAGCTTGTAGTTTATTGGCTTGCACACAGATTCCTGTGTCAAAGATGAGCGTAGCAGTCGGTTCCCAATTGAAGCAGATTGGCACAGGCCAACAGCGGTGGTGCCTTTGACGACACACAACGCTGAAGGAGGCACATTGGCACACCACAGTGTCCAGGAGCCAAGGTGTATGAACAAGACATTCACTTCCATAGTCCTCAGGACAGGTTTCACAAGTTACAAGGATACGTGCCAATCTTTTGTCAAGTTTAGAATTGGTATTCATGGCCGGACTATCCCATCAGGAACCTGAGTGGGCCACAGGCAGAGGGTCGTTTTTTTCATGGAGGTCCTTTGTGCTCCTGATCAGGTCCTTTGATGGTGGCTAGATCTAGTTGCAGTGCACTTCATTTTGAGCTGAGTCATGCTCAGGAAAGTCTTAAGACTTTTGCATCAATTTTATAGTGTTCTACAGGCCCCCCATGTATTCACAAGTTCTAAAAAAATTTATAAATTTTAGCGTTAGTTGTAGTAGTGAATTTGGTTTCTGAAGGTAATGCAGGTGTAAAATGTGGTGGCTTCAATTTCATACCGCAGACAGACTTTGAATGGTTTACCTCACTTCTTTTAAGCATAAAACAAATATACCCATAATTCTCAATAAATACAATTAAATATGGAGAAATAAGCTGTTCAAAATGATCTGTGTATTCTGATGAATTTTTTTTTAGGAGCTGTATATTCATAGTTTTGGAAACAATTTATGTATTTTTTTTCCTGACACTCAAAACATTAGAATTCTGCACTTACATTCTTATGATCGTCCTTGCATTCTGTAATTGTGGTTGTTGCAGTTTTCATATTCAGCTTGTTATTATTTAGTACTGTATTTTAAAGAAATAAAAGGCACAAAGCAAAACCTATCACAGATGATAAGTCTTGATGGCATTATCAGAAAAAATACGCTTCTCTCTTATGTGCTTGTTTTAGGTAACTTAAAAATAAAAGGAAAACACAACTACTGTTTATCTCTGAACTTAATTTAGTGTGATCACTTACTTTTTTTTTTTCCACTGCTTTTTTAAAATGTCAATTCATACTAACAGACTTAGTTCCCAAAAGTATGGATGACACTGATTTACTTTATTGCTGTTGATCAGAATGAGACAGCTCATAGGAATTTAAGGTACATTGCATAACATCTGTAAAAGAATAAAATGCAAATCACTCAATAAAAGAGAAAATCTAGTAGAAAATCAAATAAATGCTTCTTCCACATCCTGAAAACAGTACTGCAGGCAGAATTAAATGACAAAGTGTAGTCAGTGGTTGATAGAGTCTTTCATCAGTGATTTCCTGTTACAAATTTATATGGGTTAGTAGTGTTTAAGATTATTTTTTTAATTTGATATTCAAAGTAGATTTTATTTTTAATAAAAATACTTTCCTCCAAAAAGATGACATTTTGTGGAAAATGAATCTTCCACACAGAGAAGTTATGCAGAAAACAGTAAAAAACTTTACTCATGGTTACTAATTAAAAAAATTCGGTTTTCCATATTTTTATGAAAACTGGAGGTCTTTATTTTTGTATTTTTGTCACAGCTTGTAATATACTGAAAGATTTTGTTTCCCAGTTTCTTTTCTTCCCTCTCCTCTTGTTCTCCTTTCCTCCTCTGCCTGTACTCTTTTCAAATCTTCTCTTGTCTTCTTTTGCCAAAACTAGACAAGTTTGAAAATGTTAGAGAGCAGCCAAAGAAAAACAGTCATAATTCGTGTCTATAAAATAGAGAGGCGATTGGCAGTATAATAGGCAAGTATGTTGTTTGGTTGATGAAAATAGAAAGTAATACAATCAAAAGTATCTGACGTTGAAATACCTCTGAAGACCTGAGTCTCATCTAATCCTGTAATTCTACAGAGATAGAAAGAACTAAATTTTAATTTGTGTTAAACCTTGCATCCCTTATCAGCTGTAAGAACATAAGTGGAATAACTAGTATACTCAAAAATAAAATTCAAATTGCAGTGAGAATCACTTTGCACTTCAATAAATCAAATTCGGCATCAGTCTTATTGTTGGCTCTCTTTGTATTAAACCTAGATCTGCCTATATCTAGTCAACACTACTTTTCTAACTGAAACTTATAAAATATTAAGCATTGCTTTTTTAAAAAAAGTAGTTCTGAAATACTGGAAAAGTGTTTTTGTAGGAAAAGACATAGAGTTAAATTGTTTCTGGATTTTTCTCTTTTTTTTTTTTGTTTTCGTGTGTCCATACAAATAGAAATAAAATAATTTTGGATATCCAGTTATTATTCTGATTTTTTGCAAAAGAAATCCCTGTAATAACCAGCCACATCTGATTTCATAAACAGGATTGTGATTCTAGATGAACGCTGAGGAGTGGATCAGCTCCTTGAAAACAAACTCTGTTTTCTTTGAAATATTCTAATGACAAAAACAAGAAAGGGAAGATCTGCTTTCTCAGCACAACTGACTCTAAAATTCTTTTCAGCATTTTTCTGTGATGTCAGTGGGTCTTTAAGAAGTCGTTAATATATGTTATGCATTATAAAACAACTGCTGATCGCTAAAGGAGCAAAATGACACATTCACCTTTGAATATGGTAGTTGATTCAGTTTATATTCTCTGCTTTAGATAATTAAGCACCAAGGTCCGGATCTTAGGTTAGATAATGTCTTATCCACTGACTGCTTTATTAAAAAGTACAGGATTGTCTGAGAAGTGAGGGAGGACTTGCTCTTACTGAGGATGGTACAGTCTGGCCTTAAGGATATTTGTTTTATCTCTGTCTCGACTGTATTTAAATGTTAATCCTGAAAATTCATGCCTGATTTTGTAAGAGTAATTTAATCTACGAAGAAGAGTGACTAGTGTCACATTAATATGAAGTAGTTTTTCTTTTTAAAATATGGAATATATAAAGGGCTTTTATCTGCAAGTCATGAAAAAAATCCTGTGATTTTGTTTTTGTTTTTTAGCATAGAACAGTGTCTAAAAGACCTGCAGTCAGAAGTAAATGAAATATGTACTGATGAAATACTCCAAAGCACAACTGACTGCCTTCAGTGGCTAAACAACTGCAACTTTAGTTCTCTCAGACCTTCTTCTACACACCATGGAGAGCTGATGGAGTTCCTTAGGACCCTGGTAAAAATTGTTCACTAATTCTTTACTACTAGTTTAATGTTTGGGAAAGTTGGTTATATGATGAGTGTTTTGGAGGTTTTTTTGAAGTTAATTAGTTTTCTCATTTCAGTCTTCACTGTGGTAAGGATAGTTCAGAAATTTTATTATAAGACTTAGTACTGTTTTTAAGTCCACAGTGGGGGGTTGTGTTGCCTTTTGATCATGCCTTAAATAGAGAAAAATTGGGACAAAATCTTTTCACGATCCCACCACATGTTCAGCACTACTAGAACTGTTTTATAAACACATGTTGGTAAAAAACATATGAAGCTGCTGTCTACACCAGGGCTGTTACTGTTACTTATTTCAGTGTGAATTTGACTGATACGGATTGTTGTCCTTTATACATTCTTTAAGCATTAACTTCCTGTCTGCTTTTTCTAATTAGAAATGTGGGAGCTACATCCATTGTCCTAGCAAGCTGTACAACTATGCATAACCAGAAATCAAATTTCACTTCAACCAAAAATTCCATAATTTTAGAAGGCATTTTTATCCAAAGTTTTTATTAAAAGTTAACCTTAACCTGAGCGAAAATGGGAGTCTGGAAAGCTGAATTTGCTAGATAAGTGAAGGATGATACCTCGGTAAACGACAGCCTGAAAGTTTCTATATAAGCTATGTGTGTGTGTGTTTGTATGATGTAGATATGCATGAGTGTCAAAACAAATGAACAGCATCCAGTGGATTACAGAATCACAGAATCTTCTAGGTTGGAAGGGACCTTAAAGATCATCTTGTCCAACCGTCAACCTCACTGACAAAAATAGACACCCACACAACAAACAAGGAGCATCATCACTAAACCAGACCTCCCAGCACTACATCAACCCGTCTTTTGAACACCTCCAGGGATGGGGCCTCAACCACCTCCCTGGGCAGCCCATTCCAATGGCTGAGAACCCTTTCAGTGAAAAAATTTTTCCTAATATCCAGCCTGATATTGTGCTCTTTGTCACTTCCATGTCATGGTATAGTTGTAGGGCATCCATGTGTTTAGGCTAAGATTGGCTCTATTGGCAGAGGAAAACCACTGTGGAGTATTTTCTCCTTTGGGACAATCTCCTGGCCAGAGCTCACGCTTCACCGTATCACCTCTCAGTTTTTTAACTCTTCATAGTGGTTGTTGGTATTTCAGGCCCCCTTGAACCCACTGGATACTAAGCTGTGTCAAATGAGGAGATCATCTCTGGAAACATTGGGTCTTTAATTTTCACTTGGTGAAGAAGTAACTTTTTCTTCTTTTGGCAGAGGTGATTAGTATCAATGTTGATGTTAATAATCACCCCCTTCAAGGGTGTCAGGGACTGCTAACATGCCTCACTGGATCTAGACAAAATGAGAGAATTCCAGAAAATACTGGCTTATGAAATACTTTGTTATTCCTCTTAGTCCAGTTAGGTCCTTAGTTAAAGCCCCTCAGAAGAGGGCATGTCTACGATGACTTCCTTGTGTCCATTCCCTGCTTTCTCCCTTCTCCAAGGTCCCTTCAAGCCATATACCTGAACGCCAGGTGGCGGCATTTGTTTGGGAAACACCAAAAGGTCCCCATTTCTGCAATACTTTGGGTATATCTTAGAGGAAACAGCTTCCCAGGAGCTTGCTGACTGTGTGGCGGTGTCTGTGGGCTGTGGAGTCCAGTTAAGCCCTGGGCAGACAGGCAGCAAAGTGTGAGAAGCCTCAAAGCCTCAGTTCTGCACAGTTTATTGGGAAAACATGCAACTTGGGAACTTGGACCTCACTGTTTCCGGCCTCATGGCTTCTTAGATAATCCAGCCTGTTGTGTAGGTGAGACTCCAGATGAAATGTGTGCATGTGTTAGCATAGACAGCTCATCTGTAAGAGGTAATAGTCACAGTGAGTTTATGTTTAGCTGCACAAATAGGTCTGCAGTAAACTATTTTCAATAATATCCAGCAGTAATGAGATTATTACCATCTGACCTTTCTTAAATGTGTGTCTCCATCCATTGAACTAATTACTCAGTTGACTTAATTTCTCACTTGCAGGCTTTTAATTAAGTATCATATAATACATCTGCAATAATAGTAACCTTCCTTCTGCTTCAGGACAATTATTATCCCTTATTATGTGTGTTTATTTTGTTAGAGATTTTGCTTATCTTTTAAGCTGCTCGAACAATTGAAAAAATAGTGCAAAGTTCTGTATGTGCTTTGGCTGAGGTGCTATATGTAGATTTATTGCTAGCGTGGTATTCTCGTGCACTTGTGAACTCATGAAAATACTGAGAGGTTCTTCATGAAGCCTGGAAGTGTTAATGATGTGAAATATTGTCATTCTGTGTACTGTTTTGTAATTCTAAATATTTAAAAACTGGATATACACATGTACACATCTTCCTTAAATTCATTTAATGCTAAACTAATGATAAAATCTTTATTTAACAAAATCTTTATCTTACTGGATATCTTTGTTGATAGGACAGGTAGTAGCCTATAGTAGGTGGTAGTCCAGTGGGTAGACCGCAAATGTCAAATGTTTTCTCTGTATTATTGTCACTAACTTTCTGTGCTCATAAGAGAACTTTTCATGCTTCTCTAAAGCCTTTGGATACTAATTTGATTCTTTTTCTCTTGAATAGTTTTGGCACCATCTTTTGAAGTATTTTTACAGATTAATTTTCAAATAGAAAAGCTTATGTCAATATAGGCAATGTTCAAAGAGACTTGATGACACTGTGTTTTCAGAGCTTCAAAGTTCACTTCAGGGGCTCTTTTTCTGAGTAACATTGAGTCTAAGATGGCATCTGCAAGCTCCCTATTTTTAATGCTTATTTTAAGTTGCAAAGGGCTTGAAACAATACTTAGATTCTTACTTGCTTTCATGAATAAAAATGTTTCTGCTTAACCTTAAAAAACAGCAGTAGGGATTTGCTTGGGAGACATTTTGGATTCATCACCCAAAGGCATCAGTTACGTTTACTGTTTTGACAGCTTCTCTTGTTTTGTTGATTTCAGAATATAGTTTTTGAGCATTATTCATAAAAGAAATTAACCTTTAAACTCCAGAATTCTACCTGTGGAGACCGGAGTCTTCAACAGAGTGATTAGGGTTTCAGTTTAGACATCAAGACACACTCTCTTTGGGGCCACAAAACTTTATGGAATACTTAAGTAGATAATGACAGTCAAATCAGCCTTAAGTATATACATATTTATGTGTGTGATTTAAGATTTTAAGTAGTTGTACGTATTTGTATCACATGCATATGCTTTTATTGGTTGATATTTGACTGATAATTTCTTTTATTATTCTTTCTTCCATGTGTGTTTCCTGCTTGTAAGTAAAAAAATTCATAGCAACATTCTGAAATAAAGTTGTAAAATGGAAGCAAATAGCTAGACTGCTATTTTTAAGACTTTCTTTTATGGGAGGCAATCATGCTCTCCGCCTTTTGTTCATAATTAGCTACTGTGGGGCTGGTCTCATTTTTCGTTTTTCATCATGTAGCGCTCCAGAGTAAAGGGCAAGAGGAAGGTTAAACTCATGATTTCTCCTGTAAGCGTGCAATATTTCTGAATCATCCAGAACAAAGAATAGGAGTTCGGATACTGGAAATTGTTGTGACTCAAAAGGGAGGGGAAAGCCCACTGAAGTTTTTGTTCATAATTTTATCTGGTTTATATTTTTATAAATTATCTGCTGATAAAAGCTTGCTACAGTAGAAAAATGGAACAAGTTGTATTGGAAATTATTATATTTAAGCAATACCAGAGTCAAATTTGATTTGTTTCTCTCACTTTCAAAATGGGAAAAAAAAAAATCCTCAAATACTTCAGGTTAAATAAATCTGTAGGTGGAAGGGTGCTGACAGTTTCTTTACCAGCCTTGCTTTATAGGATGGATTATAGCTGGGAAACATAGATAAAGGGCAGGAGTGGAGAGAACTACCCTTATGTGATTTCCACCACCTTTTCTCTGTTGGAGAGAAGCAATAAGAGGTGGAGGAGCAAGTGGGAGGGCTTCTGGATCCTGGTTAACCTAAGGCTTGTGTCCTGAAACCCAGAAAGTCAAGAGAAAACCAGTTTCACTCAGTTTTCTTGCGACTGTGATATGGGGAAATATGTGGACAGCTCTAGTTCACCTGGAGAATTGAGAGCAGGTCTTCACAAATAAGTCAAGTCACTGGGAATTTAGGGAGTGGGGGGGATGCTTTTGATGTTGAAGGTGGGCCTAGGATTTGGAAAAAGCCAACCTGCCATAAGAAAAGCATTGAGATTGTGGGAAATGGGTTTATGACATGCAGGTTTTTTTTTCTCTAAGAGAGGAGGGAGATTTTGGTGTCCGGTGACCATGGGACTTTAGGATGGTCTTCTACTCGTGTATTGGACATGCCTTGTCCATCTGAATTACTTTTCTCACAGACAATAAGGAAAGCTGCAAAGTGCTGTTTAATTCCGTGTCATTCTGGGCCAAGTAGAAAGGATGGAGCTGTGACAGGAGGACCTGCTATTTGCTGCATGGCCTCTTGAACCTGAAGCAGCAGGTCCTGGCCCTGGACCAGGAGGGAGCTCTTCAGGATCAGATGAAGTAGGAACAGCGCATCCATCCATGTGGTTTCACCTGCTTCCTCCCTAACAACCTTCCTGTGGTTAACTGGCTTCCTTCTCCTCTATCCCATATGGCTGAGATGTATTTAGAGGTCACTGCATCGCTAATGTATCAGTCTGTGTCCCAGATACACAGCTTCTTACTCTTCTGCCCTGTGTGATCCAGGTCTGTTCAATTCTTAACAAGTTTTCAAATTTAGTTTTTTGAGGGGGTCCTGGGAAGATTATTTTATCCTTAAAATGCCCTTTTTTGGTGTTTGCCCTCTGAGCCAGAACATAGAAATCATCAGCGTTTCAATTTATAAATTCCTGGTTTGGTTTTATGAGCAAAACCTATCCTTATTTGTGTAAATCTTGAGTAATTTTTCACACTATCTTCTTTCAAAGGTGCATGTGTGGACCACAACAAACAGGCTGCCAAGGCCTGTCTAGTGAGTTTTGCAAAGTTTTCATTTGAATTGTGGGTTAGAATTGATTGATAAAAGAGGTTGAGGATGTAAGAAAGATGGGAATAGGAATGCGTGATGTTGGAGCAGGTAGACAAGGAGAGGGATTGGTGCATAAATCCGTGGGAAAACAAGCTTTGATATTTCTGTTGTTTATATAGCAATTTGAGCCTCTTATTTGCTGTTAAGATAATAGGCATTGGAAACAATTGGTACTCTAAGATGAAGCTGTTCATTTTACGAACCAAAGTTAACAAAATGTTTCTAAAATACTCTCTGGTTTACCTTTGTTAGCAAAGCTTGCTGAAGAGTGAGCAAAATCAAGAAGAAATGATACTTCACTTCCTTCTGGACCTCTCTAGTCAGTGTGGTGTCTCGTTTCCCTGTACTCCAAGTGGGACACCTTTTGAGTTAACATCTTCCCTTCATGCCATTGAGGACGATTCAACTATGGATGTGAAATCTCTCTGGGATGATGTGAGATTACATCTTCGACGATTTTTAGTAAATAGACTGCAAAGTCAAGAAGAAACAAATGCTAATGCGTTACAACAACAAATGGAGTTTAAAACTCAGTGCATACGGCAACTTTTGTTTCTTTACCCCGAATCAGAAGTCTTAATGAAGTATCAAAATATGCAGAATAAACTGGTTAGCAACCTTCTACAGAACTGTGTTTTGTCTAGTTGTGGCGAAACAAATTTTGATAAAGTGGTTCACGGCTACCAAAGTTCCATACCCACATTGTCCACAATGATAAAAGAGGATTTGTATATACTAAGTGGAACTATTGATCCTTCTTCATCGTTGAAGTTCATTAATGAAACTTACCTGGATACCATCACTGAAGAAATCACAGTTCTTCTTGAAAGACTTTGTGAGCTGCAGTTCAAAGAAAATGCTCTACATGTAGTTAAGGCAAACAAGATTTCAAAGAAGCATAGAGGAACAGTTCATGCTGAGGGTTAGTAGCCTTATTTTATGTCCATTTTAGTTAGATATTATTTTAATTATACTACTTTTTTTTTTTTTCTGGTAAACTTGATTATTTCCTATGAAGAGAGAAGCCTAAGATTATTAATTACAGCTTTATGTTTTAACCATATTGCAGCAGTTGAATTATAGACTGTTTCAGAATTGTGAGGAAAAAGGTTTTAAAGTAAGGGGGAGTATCTTATGCTTATGTTTGTAGAAAACCTCTTATAATTCACTGGATAACATTGTCATGACATAGTCATTTTTTTCAGTCTAATTTATTCTAGCTGCTGAAATTTATAATAGAATAAGAACTATTTAATCCAAATTTGAAAAAACACCACAAATCCTTTAGTCTTCTACTCCCACTTTTTCCAAATCTTCAGAAGTTTAAAGGAGATTTGAGGAAAGTCCGTACAATAGTGTGACTGTGAAATAAACACAGATTTATACACCTGAGCTGACCTGAAGGATAAGTCTGCAGTTTCTAATTAAAAAAAAAAGATAAAAAAATAATGTTTTCTAATCTTGTGAAAGTACAGTAAATTAATGCTACCTGGTCATTTTTTCTTCTTCTAAAGTATTTAAGGCATAAAAGGAACCTGTTGTCAATGTGGTATTTTCTGTACTTTCTTTTTACAGTTGGTGAGTCTGACATGCTAATTTCCAAAGGGAGGAATCAGAGCTTTAGAAAAAAATGCAGTATGGAAACTTTCATAATGTAATTGCGTGATTGTATGTAATTGCTTTTTCAGTGCAGAGTTTTGAGCACTCCTCTGTGCAAGAGCTGTTTTTTTAACATGTAGCCTTCCGTAAAGGTGAAGTAGTTTGCAGAGAGAAAATACTAAAAGTTTAGAGTCATGTGAAAAATCCAGAAAGAGAAGAATGATCTTTGAGTTGTACAACATACACAAAAATGAGTGAGGTGATGATTTGCCAGGTCTACACAAGAAGAAAATTATAGTCCTGTGAGTTTTAAAATCTATATACATGTTAATGTAAGCGAACTAGAAATTCCACTAGAAGAAATGAAATAATTTTTCAGAAGCTGAAATATGGAGGAATATGTGGAATGTATGAAAGGTAAGGTAAGGGAAAAAGCGTGCAGGCAAATAATGTGAAAGGAGCAGTGGAAAGGGGTGTTGGTGGGAAACAAGAAGAAGTTGTGTCAGAATAACGTTGAGTTATGAAATAAATGTCAAGAAATGTATCTTTCACTTACATAGTGAGATGAGAATTGGTGAAAAGACTTGCTGACAAAAAAATGACTGGGAGCAAACCAGAAGTTTATAACTTAATTTTTCTTTTGACCTCAAAACAGCTCACAAAGATGGGTAAGTTCAGGTATCTCCATTTTATACCTAAAATATGGAGACTAAAGTCACCATAGGGGCGACTCTCTAGAAAAACCACATTATCTGCTTCTGTATTACAAGAAAGAACAGTCCTGCAAGCTATTGATAGTAAGATAGTAATTCCTCTGCTTGAATTTTCTTTGGCACAAGATGTGTCTTTACATGTTTTTGTGCCAACACATCTATTGGGACAGCTTTCCAGTGCACAGTTCTATTGCATATTTGGAAGAACAGAGAAAGATTAAAATACACAAAGTAAATCTTGGGACCTGCTTGCAACTTTTAAGACATTTGCTGCTATTATTTTTTTTTTAAAATTATACATTTCTGTATTTTTAAAAATCCTACAGAAGATTTTTCTTTTTTGTTCAAAATGTATTCCAGTCAGATTTGCAGGCACAGAAGCTGTCCCCTTAGCACCCATAAACTTTGTTTAGAAGCGCAGTTTGTTAATACCATTTCATCCTCAAAAGCCTGCTTGCAACTTTTAAGACATTTCATGCTATTATTTTTTTGTAAAATAATACATTTCTGTATTTTTAAAAATCCTACAGAAGATTTTTCTTTTTTGTTCAAAATGTATTCCAGTCAGATTTGCAGGCACAGAAGCTGTCCCCTTAGCACCCATAAACTTTGTTTAGAAGCGCAGTTTGTTAATACCATTTCATCCTCAAAATGACTTTCTTCACAGTGGCTGTCATGCTCATGTCTTCATCTCTTCACTGTATATTGTGCTCCATATTATTTCACATCCAGAGGTTGGTATGGGAGGGAAGTGTTGATTGCCCTGCAGCCTCTCTTACCAGCTTTCTTGCAGAGTCAGGCTGTTCTAGATGATCTGTGGTTATAGACTGTGGCCAGGCAATAAAGCCAAACAATAGTGCAATCAGCAGGCTAGGGCAAAATAAGGGGCCAGAGTTGTGAAGTTACATAGGATTTATTTTTTTTTTAATTCATTTTTGGGGTATGTTATAGCCTATTATTCGGTATTATTAATCAACTCAAGCAAAATCTATACTTACATCATTACCGAAATAATTATTATTGAATAATTCATCGGGTGTGAGCTCATCTGTGAGAAGTCCTTTCTGGATAGAGATTTCTCTATTCTAAATGTTTGAACATACCACATTTGTACCACGCTAAGTCAGAAAAAGGCACTTTTGCTTTGTAATAGAAGTGTTCACAGGACGGTTCATAATGGAATAACTATTATGGAAGAAATTCTACAGAATAACTATTTTGGGCAGTTTATAATGGCAGACAAGTTCTTAGTGTCAAGTGGCTTTTCCTGCTTGGAAGTCGTAGTGATTTTTGATACCTTTGTTGCCCTCCCACAACTGAGGGTGGAAGTCTGTATTTATACATAAAGTTAAAAGCAGCCTTAATAGATTGCCTTGACAGTGATACTGTTTGCTGAGTATCAAAAAAAACCAGATGCTGGAGTATGAAGGGAAGGGGAGAAAGGGAAGGAGACTTTTTTTCTTAGCTGAAAGACAGTTATACCAATGTGTTTCTTATTTTTTGATGCATGTTGCCTCTGCCCTCTGGGAACCACCAAACCAGCGCATTTCAGAACAGCAAAATAATTTAATCTAGGGCATTCAATTGGGACTGTTATCCCAGAGGTGGAAAAAGGGTTTGTGTTGACTTAGTCCACCCTCAGGGAAATGTGGGGTTTGGTTTGATTTTTTTATTGGCCTTTTTTTTTTTTTTCATAAGAACTGCTGTAATTGATCCTACTATACAGGAGAGGAAAAAAATAACAGAAAATAATGAAACAAGGCTAGAACCTCAGAAAACTTTATATGGATGACCTACTTCTGTCAGGAAAATATAGGTAGTCTATAACAAGCTTTAACAGAGTTATAAATCTTTAAAATATTTCATATATAACAATCTATTTGTGAAGTAAGGAATTAACATTTTTGTTTTCATATTGAATTAGAACAGTTATTTGTCAAGAACTGTAATGAGATTGTATCTCTTTATCAGGATTGAGGATGAGTGTGGTTTGAGAGAAAAACTGGCAAAATGGTATGTGAAAAGAGGCGCGTTTTTTGGAACTTGGCATCTTTGATTGCCAGCTCTAGTGGAGGCAGGTGTTTTTATGTTTAATCTTGATCCTGTTCCCAGTAAAATCAGTGGCTCTTATTACGTTTAACAGTGCAGGATTCAGCCATTAGTACTTGGGCTACGTTATTGTAGTAGGTTTTTATCTAGCGTGGGTCATAATTTCTCTGTGTACTCTCATCAATGTTTCCACTCCGCTAAAACAATATCTGAGGAATGTTTCCCAACCCTTCTACCCCCCGATATATTTTATGATGGAATTTTCTAAGTTGTCGTTTCAGCCTTTCTATCATATTAATCATATTCTTTCAAAAGTTTATGTAGTGTTACAGTATTTTAAAAAATGCTAAAAAAGTTATGTATCTGTTAACATACTTGGCATGGAAAGAATCATGCAGACAGCTGGTTTTCAGCTTATCTCTTATGATTTTTTGCTTCAATTTCCAGTGTGATATTTCTCAGAAATTATTTTCAGTAAGTCTTTTAAAGGTGGATTGTGATTTTACCTTTTAAACCTCTTTCGCTTTTCTTTGTTTACAAAAATGTTAAGCTAGTTTAATCAGGCATTACTAAACTATCTTAATCCTCCATCTCTTTTAGATAAAGCAACAGCTACTCTTGTAAGTGATAAGGCATCAGCCAAAGAAACTTAAAACCCATGAAATTATACACATTTTATGTATTAGTGGAAGGTTTTCTTTGGGTTTATTTATATATCTTTTTATCTATATATAGAGAGAGTGTAAATACATGTGTAGACTACTTAGCCTGTTTTTTAATTTCCTATGGTTAAACCTAGAAAGACATTACAGCTTTGAGTTTTACTTTTTGTGACACATTCAAATTAATTTGCTTAATATTTTCATATAGTCACAAACTTGTCAGAAACCCTTAAATAGGGTCTCAAATCTACTAGCATTTGCCAATAAAATATATATTTTAGTATATTTATATAATTAATAACTTTAAAAATCTTAAATTTGCTTTTAAAATCTGAGGCAATACACAGAGTATTCATCAAAACCAGTAGCTGATAATTTTTAAGAAAATATTATTGCAAAGTGGAGGTAAATTAAATCACCTTCACTGATGTATTTTAATATATGTATTTTACACTTTTGCCCTAATGTATAAGTCCTCTTACTTATGTGTCCAGCAGGATACCTTTCTGTTTTCTTTCTACAGAATATGACCAAATTCCATTCTATTCTTAAGTTATATTCAAATGCAAACTGCGATTTAAATTGTGATATTTTTAATTCATTATCTTTAAATATGCATGAGTTCCTAAGGAATATATTGTGTCTATGGTGCACTTAATGTGAATATGGCATATATCTAACCTTGAATAGAAGGACCCAATGTTGTTTAGAGGAGCTGCAGTCATGCAGTGGAGTTGAGAGCAAGAAAAGAAACAGACTTTGGAGTAATTTGTTGAAATGGAGGTAACTTTGGGACACTAAATAAAAGTACTTGGTAAGGTAAGTCCGTTTTGAGGTCACTTATCCTTACCTATCTATTCCCAACAACTGCTGTCCAGCTAACATGAAATACAAGTTTT